AATCAATAGCCGCAAGGCTGGCTCGGGGACAGCGATGGCTGCAGATAACCCCCGCACTGTCCCGTCCCTCCGTGCTGTCACCCGCACGGGGTTGCAGAACATTTTGTGGTATACAGGGCATTAAAGCGATTCTGGTCCTCTGCAGCACCCACCCTGTCCAGCACTACGCAGCCCCATTCCCCATGTCCATCACATCCGCACACTCGTAATCCAGGAGAGTTTTTCTCCTGCTGCTTAGCCGGAGCAAGTTTATCACCCTCCGCCATCTATTCAAAGTCACTTGTACTCAACCCCGCTTTCAAAAACCACTCAAATTAGATAAAACAAAGGGGACGTGAGTATCAGCATCGCTGGGAGGGGAAAAGCTGGGCTGGCAGGGTAAGGAAGGGCTGCCAGGCAGGTGAGGTTGACAGGCAGGGATGCTCCCAGGGCCTCTGAAACAGGCAGGGGAGGCGGGCAGGCAGGAGTGGGGATCCCGCCTGCTGCCTCGGGCATCAGCACAGAGGGGCAGCGAGACCCACTGAGCACTGGGGAGGACTGGAGCTTGTGGAAGGACAGGGCAGCCCATTTTTACAAGAAATTCTCTTTTCCACTGACACCCAGGGACACAGAGCTGGGCTGCGTGGGCTAAAACAGTTGGTGACTTGTAGGGTGGAAGCTTTGGATCTGTTAAGGGACAGAGAAGCATGGGACCACCCACAAGAAGCCTGGGGGCTTGGGTACAGAGTCTGGAGCGATGTTTTTCCTCTTTTCAATTTCCCAAAGGATGTGGAGTGCACGTGAAATCACGTACATCATGTGGTCCTTCCTCGCTGCGTGAGGTACCAGCAGCCAGCTTGGATATCCTGGCTCCAAGCCAGGGAGGGTATGATGAGTGGCGGGCAGGAGGGGGTACGCTGGAGACCTCCTCCTCTGCTGCCATCCCTGCACTACCCTCTCGCTCCCGCTGCCCTCTCTGCACCGTCCCGTGCCAGCTCCATCCGTGCCGAGCTCGGCCTCCTCCCGGGCGGTGTGGCGAGAACGCGGTGTTCCCGGTGTTCTCGGCTCGCCGTGTCCCACAGCATGACAGTTGCCTGGAAACCACCTCCGGCTGACACCATCAGCTGCCCCAGATTCAGCCAGCCCTGCGTTCCCTTCCCCGTGCCTTGCGCTAACAAGATGGCCGAGGGGAGCCGGGGCTCATGGGGAGGAGGAGGAGGAGGAGAGCTTTCCAGCCTGGCTGGCGAGCTTGAAGCCCTGCAGAAGGAGCCGGGCGGAGGGGAGCAGATGGCTTCCCCGGGGAAGGGAACACGGCGTCTTGCTCCGGGAGGTTTGCTGGATCCAGTCCGGACATACGGTTTGGAAAGAAGGCGCCTAGGAAGAGCTGTCGCTGGAACACAGGATCATTAGGTCATTGCTTAGCAAAAAAAAAAAAACCAACAGCAACAAAAACCATGTGCTAACCACTTGCATCAAAGGAGCTGGGCTCAGCTCCTGGAGCAGGGCCACAGATTTCTTTATTTCAGAGCCAGCCCTGGGAGACCGAGGGGAGAGGGAGACCCCCCCTCCTCCCAGTGCCCCAAACCAGCTCCAAACTGGGCTGGGGGGGGGATAGAAACCTCTCTCCCATGTCCTAGAGCCAGATGGGGACAGGGACCCTACAGGCCGAAGCCACTCTCCTGACCGGGAGTCCCATCCCCGGGCTAGGGGAGCTTGCAATCCTACTCCCCGCCCCGATTTAGCATCCACTTGGAAAGTGGAGGCAGGGGGATTAGGTGGGGCACTTGCCACCCTTAGCACTTCAATGCCGGCATTAAATATTAACCAAAAGATTTTTCAGCGAGTCAGACATGAGCCCACAGCAACAGGGAAGAGCTGGAGAGCTTCAAAGCCTGCCCCGACTGTCTGACAGCACATTGAAGGACCTTGTTGCCATGACATCATCGCAGAGAAGCGGTTGAGTTTGCAACTCTTTCTTCCCATCTCCCCTCTGCAGCTCTTCCTCCATCTTCCCAGTGCCTTTCCCCCTTCCCAGCAGGTTCGAGTCACCCTTCGGGCGGAGGAGGAGCCGTACATCCGAGGACATTTCCACTGCTGGCACCGAGTCAGGACTCCCCAGCAGCGGATAATGATGTTGCCCATCTCCCCTCAGCGGGGAGGGATGAAATCACGACGCGCAGCCCTCTGAGCTGCTGCCGCAGCTTCCCAGGACCGGCGGATAGGAGGGGTCATTTCGGCTGGCACTGATGCATCACCCTGCGTTTTTCATCTCCTTTTCTACATCTGACTCAGCCTGATGCTTTGATGGGTAATGGCAGCAATATGCAGGGGGCAAGAAATGAGAGGGAGAAGAGAACACGGTAGCAAGCCACCTGTTGCCAATGTCCCCAGCTTTCTGCTGAAAATCTGTAAGCTAAAAACCTCCAGCAAGAGACTGCAGCTTTATAGTCAAAAGCAGATAGGCCCTAGAGGCTCCAAAGCATCAGCTGCAGAGGGGTCTCTTGCAGGAAAACACAGCACAAGGGACCATCTCTGATGCATGAACCGTACTCCCCTGAAAATTACAGCCGTGCCCGAAAGCGTGGCAGCTCCACAGCAAAAGGAGGGCGAAAGTCTTTCTTCTAACACCCAGGGGCCGGCACAGCGTGGCTCAACTTGAAACGGGCAGGAAAATTGATCTGTCTTGTTGAATGCTTGCCTGACACGCACAGCTGAATTTTGGGAAGATGAGGTTTGTGCTTTCACGTACGGCACCAATGACGGGCACACAAACCAGCTAAGACGGGTTGGCTTCTTTGTGGTAACTTCTTGTGGGAAAGCTGTTACCCTCGGAAACAAAAATAGCCTGCCGCTCTCCTGTGAGCCACCTTGCACTTACCTTGGGGGAGTTACAGTGTGGGAGCTGACTTGCTGCAAATTCACGCCTAGCTCACCTCAATCTGTTTGCGCACTGATGCTTCAGGAAGGCTGGGGAGCAGTCAACGTTCGCTTATTGCCAATGCAGGTCACGGAGACATTAGCTTTGGTCAGCTGGTGGCCAAAGAGATAACAAACTGGCAGCGAGGCCAAAAAATTGTGTGCTGAGGTAAGCAGCTCCCTGTGATCATCTGCAGGTCACCACGACCCTGCAGAGATGCCCATGACCAGTGTATCTGTGCATATGCACACAGCAGTTAATTATTCATTAGCATGAGAGAGACACGATTAAAGAGAGTATGGTACGGCTGAAGGTATCATCGTGCTCCAATGTGGGACAGTCCAAAAACGCTAGCTTTACCTTTTTCTCTGGGCCTACGGTGATGAAACAGAGAGGAGGGAGAAAGTCCTGGAAGAGAAAAATAATCTTTTCCACCTGCCAGCTGCAGAAAGTGCCAGTCAACAGTGCTATCTTCACGCAGAGGCAGCCAGCTGGAGTGAGACAGAGTAACCGCACCAAGAGACAGCTCAAAGGATTTGGACTCTCCTGCGCTGCACCACGCTCCTGACACCGTGGGCCACCACACAGGGCAGCTATCATGGTACCAGCTACCTTACGATACCTGTTACGTGTCCCCCCCACCTCGCAATTCCCCTCCACCTGATCAATAAGGAATTGTGTGAGAGGATGTCGGGCCCAGCTAGCGCAGATGGTCCAAATTTGAAATATTTTCTAGTCACTCTAATTCCTGGCTTATAGAAGAGCTCCTGACAGGATGAAATGGAGGAAGGACATCTCTAGCATCACACTGAGGTTCACAGAAGGAACAAAAGGAATTGTAAGACCCCCCCCCAGTCTGATCCACCCCATGCACTAAGGCAGAAAGGTCCTTCAGAATTGAACTATGGACTAGACTGTGGCCTCTCATAAAACATGAGGTGCCGGTGGTACTGCTGGCGACGTTCTGAGAGGAAAGTCTGAAAATTAAGGAAGCCACAAATGCGAGACCCCGAAGGTCAGAGCAGAGGACACAGGTACACTCCCTTGCTGCTACTTAGACAGCTGTGTGGCCTGGGGACTTTGGCCAGCAGCACTGTGGGCCTGGCAACCTTCCTCGGCATCGTGGCTTGCACTGGTGAAAGGAATCGAACAGCAAGGATAAGAGTGCATCTCTGGTACCTACGAGTCACCCGGGAAACAAGCAGGATGGACGCTTGTCCCTGTCCTCTGCCTGAGCTACACCATTGCTTACTTACTTCCGTGTTTCCTGAAATACTCTTCCTTCTCATCCTCTGCTTTGTGATTTTCATTTTAGAACACACACAGAAAAGGACATTTTACTAAATTTTTATTGTAAAAACACGGTTCCCCAGATTTATATAAATAAGCCATATACGTAACATACAATTACGTTCATTCCATCCTCCAACACTGACAGTTTTAAAAAATGAAACAGGCTAAAAGAACGCAAGTCCAAAAAGACGTTAGGTTTCTGATGACCAAATGATATCTCACATGGAGCCTCCTTCCTCTACCAGCCTCCAAACAAGATGCTGCAAGTACACAGCACTTGCAACGCCCCCAGGAACTGACAGGGAGGCATTTGAGCCCTATGAAGAGTTTTCTCACCCACTCCGCAGGCGTCGTCAGCCGCCTGTGTTTTCATGCTATCTCAGTGTGCGGTGGGTGAGAAAGGAGGGGGAAGTTTGCATAGCAACCTCCTACACCCAGGCAGCTCAGCTGTTGTAGCCTCCCAAAAGAAGCGGGGAAGGGCAAACTGAGTCTGCTTCCTTGTGGCTAACACCTCCACGGGCAGCCCAAAGGGAGGCCCTTGGCACTGCCAGCTCTGTGCGGACATCTTAGATGCGGGGAAGAAGGTATTCTTGGCATTCAGAAAGAGGAGAGACAGGTGCTGGTCAGAGCCATACCACATGGCAGTGGGGAAGGCAGAGAAGAGAGGACATGACGTGGAACAAGTGGGAAGAAAAAAAAACCGTAGGGCTAGATAGCACCTTTTCTCTTTCCTTTCCCCCTCCTAGCGCTGCTGTACGGCTCTGCAGTGGGTCGTGAGATTACCTACTCCCCACCTCCTTCCTGCTTCGCCTCAAAGACCAAGAAAAGAGCCACAGACAGATGAGAAATCCCACGAGCAAGGACAGGACAGCTTAGCGAGTTTATACACACACACACGCACCAACTATATGTATCCCATGGAACTGTTACGTCAGTATGAAAAAAAAAAAAAAAAGTCTTGACGTTTAACTATTAAAAATAAAGCCCCACCTCCAGATTGTACAAAACCTGTCAAGAAAAGGAAGGAATCTCTTGTATGCAGTGAGTCTGGGATCCAGCCAGATGTCAGGAGCACTTCCAGACACACACGGCCAGGCTGCCACCAAAGAACATGTACAGCAGATTCTTCACCTCGTGAGTGATCTCAAAGCCAAAACCTTCCCCAATCACCACATGCCAGGAGGACCCAAATTTCTTGTCCATCATCTCTTTGATCATCTTGGCAGCGCTCTGGAGAATGTTAAGGAGGAGAGTACAAGCAGTGAGTTTTTATGCAAACATCCCCCTAGTCGTCTTCTGCCTTTAACAGACTACTCAAGCCACGGGCAACAGGTATAGCAGCTGCACTGCAGGAACTGGGAGCTCCCCAGAGCTATGCCTAAGGGTAAAACAGGTCTCTCTGTTTTCAGCAGCCTCCGACACAGCAGCTAGGAGAAATTAAAGAACTGCATCTAGCAATCACTTCTCTTGTTCACACAGTCTGAAGCAAGAGTTCTGGTTTAGATGCTGATGGAGTTATGCTGAGTGCAGCGAGCCTGAGAGGAGATTCAGGTCACTAAGCTGTGGCTATTTTTAAGGAGTCCGGTTTTTTTTTTTTTTGTCCAGCTAATTACCAAAACACTGAAACTAGGCTGACTTTTAAAAGATTCACTTCTCCCAGATCACACCCTGCTTGATCTAAAAAAGGCGAGAGGAAGATTTTGCAGTGACGTGCGGTGTCTCAGGCAGGAGAAAGCAAGACAAAATTGCTCCGGCAACAAGCAGTCTGTGCCCTGCCCACAGAGCAAGGTGTGTTTGCCTTTATCATTGGTTCTCAAAGTTAAGGGTAATCTTTCCCAAGGCCATAACTTCTGCATCACCCCCCATTTATATGGTCTCAGTAATTTCATTCAGGAGGCTGAAAGCTGAGAGGGAAGACTTAACAGACTGTACCTAAACGTTCAAAGACTTTCATGTACTCATCCCCAAAACAAGAGCCTGTTCCCCACTCTGGTGGGGACGGCCTTGCTCAACACTGAAGAACAGACGGGAAGGGCCCGTCTCCACACAGCTCTGAACGAAGCCCTTGGGACACAGGGCATTTTATGAACAGAGGCATGCCACAGGCAAGGCAGGATCAGGAAGGAGGCAAGGCTTGGGAGGCAGCATCGCTACTAATCTCTGCTTCCTGCAGGAAAGCAAAGGGCTATTATGGATCTTGCTGACAAAGGGAACCGAATCTGAGATCTAGCCAAGCTCTTTGCCTTCTTCTACCCTTGTTCAGTGCAGACAGAGAGTAATAGGATGTCAGGATCTGACTCCACTCCGCCCTGCACCCTTAGCCCTGCTCCTGCAGGTTCCCTGAGCCACAGCGACTGAAGGCTGGCCATTTTGGGATTTGGCTAGTACCTCGTTGTTGGTGGCGTATTTCTCACATGCCGTGACACACAGCTCCATGGCCTCTACACGCATCTCCTCCGGCATGTCTGTGTGCTGGAAAGAGCAAACAAGAGGAACTCAGCAGAAAAATAGGAGCTGGACACAAGACAACAGTAAGCAGCCCTTACTTTGCCCAGGCTATAGTGGGGCCTGGACTGCTGGGCGTGGGCAAAAGGCAGCTAGTCCCTGTGACTGTTAATGCTTGCTTCAAGGTGGGGGGTATCACCAGCAACACAGGCTTGTCTGTACCCCAGGCATTTCCACTGTTTCAGAGAATGGTAAATATGAAAATGGCTTATTGCATTACAGCTGACCCCTTTGTTCCTTTGTCCCAGCCAATGCAGAATTCTTCTCGTACCTAACATTAACACTAGCACCAAGTAAGCACAGCTTAAAGAGAGAGAGAAATACATTTGTCGTTTTTTCTGTTATAAGATGAAGGGAAAGCATGTTAATACTGCTCCAACTACAGTCCTTAATTATTGCTATAAGCATAACAGAGAAGTCTATATTACACAGCCTTTTCTTCCTCTTCTGCTATCTGGCCGCCTAGCAAGATCTTTTACTCCAGCTCCTCTAGAAAAAAAAGCAAGCTGCATCCAGAACACAGGAGAGGGCTCCAAAGGCAGCATGTTCAGTCTATTAGACCGACCGCTTTGCCACAGGCTTCCCCTGGCTGACAGGGGGAACAACGGTGCTAATAAGTTTCCCTGACAGAGGTCAGGGACAGGGAGAAAGCAGCAGCGATGACTGGGATTCTTCCACAGGACCATCAGTACACACGTTCTCACAGCAACGACTCAGTGGGAGAAATTCTAGTTTGGAAGGCTGGTAAGAACGAAGGTAGAATTTCATGTCTGTAACACCGGTAAATGTGTAATTCATCCCTCTTCTTACCCTAATCAGTGGAAAGCTGTGAAGTCTTTTATAATCAGCCTCCTCCTTTTTCCCCTCCCCGGTGTCTGCCATGGTCCTTCCACAGTGACCCCGGGAAGGGGCGGAGGGGCTGCCCGGAGCCCAGCAAGGTGCTGCAGCGCAGACAGCTGCGAGGAACACGGCCCTGTGAATGCAGGCAGAGGGAAACGTCAGCAGGAGGTGAAACTTCCCGGCCCAGAGGATGCTGTTTAAAGAAAAACAAACACAGGAAAGAGAAAGAAAGCTTTGAATGAAAATGGAAGGCAAATAAAACTATTACAAGAATATTGTCCGATCTCAGTTACTTACTGCTTCTCAGTACTGTCTTCACACACCACGCACTTAGAGGGTTATCTTACAGACCATTAATGCAAACAAATTTTTTAAAAAAGTATCATTTTCCATAAACAAGGCTTCAAGAGCACAGCACTTTCCCAGAAGCACCAATCGAGCTTGAGGGAAGAGCCGAGTCAGGGTACGGCTTCCAACAAGGGAGGGGAGAACAGTACATCAGCCGTTATGTGTATTGATTAGTTCCCGAAGGATTTTCCCAGGACACTATTATCTGCGAGGGTTTCAAACTGCGCATGACAAGCAAAGGGTAAGAGTATTTTAGGAACAGGATCAGTGAACATGTCTATATGGAAACACTTAACAGGAACATCTTGGTCCGGTTTGTGCACTTGCTCCTCACATCCCCAAGCATTTGTCAGCTGGGGAGGACCACATGGGAAAACGCTGGACCATGCCTCTGGGTCCAATTACCAACCAGCCTCTACTTGGGCACCACAGAGCACAGCACTGGCTGGCTGGCAGATTCAGAACATTTCACCATGTCCTTCCCTCTGGTTCTCTCATCCAGAACAAAGCACCTTCCTCTCCTCCCCAGAGGAGGCAAGGGTGATCCCATATTAAAGGGCAAACAAAACAAACATGGTGTCAGGCAACACCCCACAGACCAAGCATTTATGCTCAGCATGTAGAGTTGCTGGCTAAAGCACCAACTCTGACAGACTACCGGCTCTCACACGAGGGACCGTGGGACCTGCAGACGTCCCCTCCACAAGCTCCACAGGACAGAACAGCCGCCTGGCTGGCGCCGGCCTCCCGCAGCGGGGCAAACCCCGGGGGCCACTTCAGCACCCAGCTTCTCCCCGAGACGTGCCCGAGGCCACAGACCGAGGCAGGCCGCCGGGGGCAGCCCCAGGGGCAGGGGGTGGGTTTCCCCCA